ATATATATATATATATATATATATAATAAATACTAAATACTATACACGTATTTCTCAATAAAAATGACAAAATCACACAAAAAAAACACTGCAAATACCATGGACTGATGGATTAAAAAAAGAAAAGAAAAAAAAGGGTAGAAGGATAGATAAATAATGGATTAATTGAAAAATAAAAAGTAATAAATAAATAAATAAAAAATGTGAATGGACAGATAAGTGACTGTCAATTAAAAAAATATTTGTAAAGATAGGAAAACAACAGATTAATTGATACATAAATAAGTGGATGGATAGATAGATAAATAAATATATGGTCAGATAGATAACCGATAAATGAAAATATGTGGAAAGATATATAAACAGTAGATTAACTGATAAATTCATAAATAAATAAATAAATAAATAACAGGTTGATGAATGAAGGAATAATAAATAAGTAATAGATAAACAATTGATTAATCAATAAATTAATATGTATCCATAATTATTAAATGAATAATTAATATGTATTTATTACTTAATTATTAATAAATAATAATTAATTAATAAATACAGAAATAATATGTTAAAGGACAGATAAATGACTAATAAGTACAAAATAAGTAGAAAGATAGATAATAGACACTAGGAATGAGTGATGGCAGTCATCCAACAACCAACTAGTAAATTAGTGAGGTCAACTAGTTTTAGAATAGAGTCTTAAATCATCTGTTGCCATGCTCAAAACACCCCTGTTGCCATGGTAACGGGATTATGCGTGCACATGTGACCTGTGAACTCTTTTTTGCAGCGGTCACGAACACTCTCCTCCAGATTCTCCAGCTGATGCTTCACTTTCTCGTACTCTCGCTCTGCCTGCTGGCTCTTCCTCCTACACACATGATTAGATGAATTCACAAATTCATTACATGAAACCTTCACTCAGACCAACAGATCAAGGGCATTGTGGGAAGTGCAGTTCTTCTTTTTAACCTGTAGCAGACGACGGAGATGGCGATAATCAGCAGCATGGGAACGACCACCGCCGGGATGATGATGGGCAGCGGGAGATTGTACTTCCTCTCGTACCGAACTGAGCCGACCAACCACTCGCCATTGCCAAACTTAATCTGAGAGAGAGAGAGAGAGAGAGACAGACTGTGTTAGGGGGGGGGATGGATGAACGGATGAATAGATAAAAGTGGATGACTGAAAAAAACTAATGGATGGATAGACTGATGCGTGGATGGATAGATAAATATATGAATATGTGGATGATGGAAAGATGATTAGATAAATAAATAAATAGGCAGATGGATGGATAAATAAAAAATAAATGATTAATTGAATGAATACATACATAAATTATTAATTGCATGAATGAATGAATGAATTAATGAAAAATATATGTCGGAGGATATATGAATTTATATATAACCAAACAAATAAATAAATGAGGATGATAAAGAAATAAACATATGTGTGGATATCAATATCAAGATATCCACATAGATCAATAAATAAATGTACAAATAAATAGGAGAAATGATAGAACAATAAATAAATGTAAAAATAAATATTCAAGCAAACAAATAAATAAGTGAATGAATGAATAGATAAATAGGTAAATGTACAGATGGATATATAATTATATAAATAAACAAATCAATATAAATAGGTGGATGAATGATGGATGGATGGAGGGATAAATAGATGAATAAGTGGACAGATAGACAAGTGATGGACTGGTGAATATATAAATAAAAAAATGTAAAATATAAAAATATATATTTAATAAATTAATAAGTGAATGGAAAGATAAATGGATTAATGGATATGTGTGTGTATATATTATTTGCAGCGGTCACGAACACTCTCCTCCAGATTCTCCAGCTGATGCTTCACTTTCTCGTACTCTCGCTCTGCCTGCTGGCTCTTCCTCCTACACACATGATTAGATGAATTCACAAATTCATTACATGAAACCTTCACTCAGACCAACAGATCAAGGGCATTGTGGGAAGTGCAGTTCTTCTTTTTAACCTGTAGCAGACGACGGAGATGGCGATAATCAGCAGCATGGGAACAAGCACCGCCGGGATGATGATGGGCAGCGGGAGATTGTACTTCCTCTCGTACCGAACTGAGCCGACCAACCACTCGCCATTGCCAAACTTAATCTGAGAGAGAGAGAGAGAGAGAGACAGACTGTGTTAGGGGGGGGGATGGATGAACGGATGAATAGATAAAAGTGGATGACTGAAAAAAACTAATGGATGGATAGACTGATGCGTGGATGGATAGATAAATATATGAATATGTGGATGATGGAAAGATGATTAGATAAATAAATAAATAGGCAGATGGATGGATAAATAAAAAATAAATGATTAATTGAATGAATACATACATAAATTATTAATTGCATGAATGAATGAATGAATTAATGAAAAATATATGTCGGAGGATATATGAATTTATATATAACCAAACAAATAAATAAATGAGGATGATAAAGAAATAAACATATGTGTGGATATCAATATCAAGATATCCACATAGATCAATAAATAAATGTACAAATAAATAGGAGAAATGATAGAACAATAAATAAATGTAAAAATAAATATTCAAGCAAACAAATAAATAAGTGAATGAATGAATAGATAAATAGGTAAATGTACAGATGGATATATAATTATATAAATAAACAAATCAATATAAATAGGTGGATGAATGATGGATGGATGGAGGGATAAATAGATGAATAAGTGGACAGATAGACAAGTGATGGACTGGTGAATATATAAATAAAAAAATGTAAAATATAAAAATATATATTTAATAAATTAATAAGTGAATGGAAAGATAAATGGATTAATGGATATGTGTGTGTGTATATATTATATATATATATATACACACAAAATATAAAATAATGTATCATTTTTTACTTTAGTTTAAAAAATACTAAAATATTTTTATTTCATAATAAGTGAATGGAAAGATAAATGGATTAATGGATATGTGTGTGTATATATTATATATATATATATACACACAAAATATAAAATAATGTATCATTTTTTACTTTATTTTAGTTTAAAAAATACTAAAATATTTTTATTTCAGGATAGATGGATAGATGCATAGATAAATAGGTGCAAATAATTTTTTGTCATAAATAAATGATCAAATATAAATACATTGAAGGATGGATGGATAAATAATTATATAAATTAATATAAATAAATGATGGATGGATAAATAGATGAATAAGTGGACAGACAGATAAGTGACAGATGGATTGATGGATCAATTTATACACACACACACACACATTTATTTCTCTGGAAGTAAAAAAGTATATTCAATAATAACTATTTGTAAAAAAAACAACAAAAAAACAAAAATAGAAACCAATAAATATGTGAATGGATGAATAAATATGAGGCTTGAAGGAGGGTAGAATGAATGGAAGGATGTTGTTCTCTCACCACCAGGTCCAGCGGGTCGGAGCTGGTGTCTCTCCTCTGTCTCTTGGATCGAGCACTGGGTGTGGTTGAGGGCGGGTCCAGGAATAATTTATCATCCTGTAACGTGTTTACATTACACGGGGCGTCTCCCACAAACGCCTGCGCCTCCTTCGCCGTCATCGCTTTAGAAAAGCCACGACCCTGAGACACACCAAAAAAGCGTTGACGAGCATGAAACCCCCGCATGAATGACATTTGGAGCAGATACTCACAGTGACGATGATCATGCTGTTCTCAGTGATATCCGTCTTGCTGAGGCGATCGAATGTAGGGTCGGGGTGATACTCAAACGGCGTCAGCTCCGTCTGGAGGTTATCGAGCTGCACGTAAGTCCTGAAGAACTGAGACTCGTTGACCACAGGTGACAGGAACATGATCACGGTGTCGTTTTTGTGCTTGGATCGCTCTACAAACTGAGAAAGAGAGAGACTGTGTAAACGTCACTTCTGTAAATTAAGACGATACTTCATATTCTAGCTACACAGACAAACATGTCGGTCCATGACGTTAGTCTAGTTCTAGTCTAGCTTACGTTATGCAAAAACAACCGTTATAATCACCGGAGCTGCAAAATGAATCTATTCGTATCTGCAGTTCGTTGTTTATGATAATGGAATTTGCATCGCGAACTCACAGGGTTGCCAGGTTTTCACAACAAAACCCACCCAACTGCTACTCAAAACTAACCCAAAACAAGCCCAATCACTTTTCGGGGTGGGGGTACATCGGTACTAATCGCGTTCCGGGGGGTAAAATACACGGTTTTTGGAATGAATGTATTCGTATCTGCACTTTGTTGTTTATGATGAGGGAATTCACGTCGTGAACGCACAGAATTCACAGGGTTGCCAGGTTTTTCGTATTTGCATTCCAGGGTCTAAATATCACTTTATTGGGGTCGCTTCAACTTTCAGACATGAAATACAACCCGCAGCAACAGTGTTAAAGTAGCCCAATTGTGCGGGAAAACTGTGGACCTGGCAACACTGAGAATTCAGTCAGTGAGCGTATGCGCTCAACAAAACAGTGCGCTGCGTCCGAAATCGCATACTTCCCTACTATATAGTATGCGAAAAACAGTTTGAGAGGCAAGTAGTATGTCCAAATTCACAGTATTCGAAAAACGGTAGATGAAAAGTACCCGGATGACCAACTTCTGCCCAGATTCTGAAGTGCGCAAACGATGGACACTTTACTTTCCCATGAGGCCACGGGAGAGGATTTATGAATGGCAGTGAAGCGACGCAACTGACGCAGGTAGGTCATGTGACAGGACCAACATGGTGGACGTAGTACGTCTGAATTTCATTCATACTACCCAAATTACTGTACTGTGTAGAACGTACCTTTTTAACGGTTGTGATTTAAATTCAAATTAAATGTAGTACCTACTCAGAAAGTACGCGATTTTGGACGCACCGCTGGAGTTTTCAGCACTGACTAATCTAAACGCCACTGATTGGCCATTGCATTCATAAACTCAACAGAAACATGTGTGATTGGCTGTAAGGCTCAACGGTGCAAAAACAACGCGCAAAGGCAATCTGATTCACAGATCTTAATGTAATTACGCGAATTGACACTTTTCATTCATCTTCACATTTCATTTTAATCGCGACAGCATTAATAGATTTAGTGTAATTGTGCAGGGGCAATTTTTGCTCCCTTATCTTGAATTTGTGGTGCATTTTTCTTAATTTTGGTGGCATTTTTTTTTCCCCACAAGCCCCTGTTAATGTCCAACCCTGACATGGACCGAAAGTCCTCAGACAGCAAAACAGAGGAACAGATTTCACTGCGGCTGGGAAATCTATTGATATTCTGAGGGGGAGCAGCAAAAGTCCCTAAAAGTGGAGGCGGAAAATCTGATAGATAGACAGATGGAGCAAAAGCGATGGAAGCAGTGAGACCACTTGAGAAAGGGCTGGAGTACAAAAGCTTCTCCTCAGATAAGGGAGATGAAATGAAGCGTTCATCAAGTTTTTCGTTAGATAAACGCTCGTTTAATCTCCGTCTCGTTGAGCGTTTCGGATCGGAGCAGCTCTCGTTGTTTCAATCAGGAGCCGAGCGAGTCATGCAAGACGGAAACCCAACAGCGAGAGGAACAGATGAAACGAAAAACAAACAGCAAGTGATGTTTCCCTCGAGAGCCGCTGGAGATCAGGGTTGGTGTTTCTCGGTCTCACCTCTTCTGGGACGGTCTGTCTGGACCATTCTCCAGCCGACGCCACTACCCTGATAGAAGCCTTCTGGACCAGGTCAAATCCAGAACCCACCACCACACAAGTTCATAATACAATATTTTTTAAAATAGTTTTTAAATGTTCAAATACATACATATATATTAATAATTATATATATTATATATAGTTGAAATACATAAATATACATTTAAACACACACATATATATTAATAATATATGTTAATATATATAGTTTAAATATATATATTAAAATGTAAAATTTGTAACATTAACATACAAAATAATAATAAACAGAGCGATGGATGCAGGGAGACCGCTTGAGAAAGGGCTGGAGTACAAAAGCTTCTCCTCAGATAAGGGAGATGAAATGAAGCGTTCATCAAGTTTTTCGTTAGATAAACGCTCGTTTAATCTCCGTCTCGTTGAGCGTTTCGGATCGGAGCAGCTCTCGTTGTTTCAATCAGGAGCCGAGCGAGTCATGCAAGACGGAAACCCAACAGCGAGAGGAACAGATGAAACGAAAAACAAACAGCAAGTGATGTTTCCCTCGAGAGCCGCTGGAGATCAGGGTTGGTGTTTCTCGCTCTCACCTCCTCTGGGACGGTCTGTCCGGACCATTCTCCAGCCGACGCCACCACCTTGATGGTAGCCTTCTGGACCAGGTCAAATCCAGAACCCACCACCATGATTTGTCTGCCACCACTGAAATATACACACAGTCATAACACAATAATATATTTTATCATATATACGATTTAATTATTCATAAAACTCTATATAAAATATGTATATAAATAAATAAATTGTATAAATGTTATACAAGTTATGCAAGTTAATAAAATATGTAATGCAATATAATCAAATATGCATTATATATTTAAAATATATAACAAGAATATACAAAATAATAAAAATATTATATATATACAGTATGTATATATATATATATATATATGCTTATTTTATAACACTTTTTTTATAAATATACATACAACACTATATACATTTTTATATTAATTATATAAAATAAATAATTGATCTTATTTATTAAGATGTATGTATGTACAAAATAATACATGTACTTAAGTAGTATTTAAATAATGTCTTGCAAAAAGCAGTATTCATCAGTGTAAAAATGAGTAATGATGTAATGGCTGTGTGGGCAAGGAAAATATTGGATGGATTGGATGGCATATTTTCTGGCAAACAGAACTGACCAGATGAAGCTGCTCCTGGGTTGATGGTCGGACACAGAGGGGTTGCTGGAGAACTGAAAGGCCGTCCTGATGGTGGTTGTGGTGTGTTTGCCATATTGAACTTTGACGTTGAGGTGAGGCGATGGAACCGTCTCGCCCAGATACTCAAACAGTTTACATCTGATCTGCTCTCCAAAGCTCTCACTAACACAGAGGAAGAACACAAAATCAACCAAAAGGGGCAAATCTAATGAAAATGACAGAAACAACATTTCCCATGATGCACTCACACTCTGCAGGGCACGTCGCCCACCATGATTTGAAGGTCTTCTTTTAAAGCGGTGTTCAGGTGCATGCCAGTGATAGTGAGGACGGTTCCTCCAGCTTTAGGACCTCGGTTAGGAGACACGCTTTGTGCCACGGGGTCCTACACAAACAAAGATCACATTTATTTTTAGTTCACTTACTGTATAATGTAGTTCAAGGTTTCTTACTCTTCTTACTATGCATTAACTTAATTTCATATATTCCTTATGGGATATGCATATAAAGTATTATTGTATATTTTGCCAAGTTGAATTAAACCTATATGTTTTTTGTACAATATTATTTATATAAATAATAGAAACTCAGTAAATAATAGAAATAAAAATATATATATAAAATAAACAACATTTTATTACAACATTTTTATTAATTTAATAATTACATTAATTGAATTACATTAATTATTCAAAATACAACATACATAAGTAACGTTTTTACATAAATAGTATAAGTAAATATTAAACTGAATACGGAAGACTATATATAATATTTATAACTCATGTTATATAAGTTAATATTACAAAATTAAATACCACAACATTATATATTTTTATTAATTTAATAAATACATTCATTAAATTACACAAAAATAGGCCATATATATATAT